AGTGTGCACAATGATGCATAAAATGTTGTTCCGCCCGTAAAACTAAAAAAAATACGAGAATGGTAGTTTCTTACGTTGCGAAAGTTGGCTTCATAAGCCAAAAGTAATCATAATGATGCTTCATGAGATACGGTAATATTTATTTATTTGCACGGTCGGGAATCCGCTTTTAACTAAAATTTCTGAAATTACTGGACTGAACTGAGCAGATAATAATCTTCTTGGGGGAAAAAAATGAGTTACGAGTAATAAGCACGTTTTCTCCTATCAGAACGAGAAAAAAGACTTTGAATGCGGGAGCAAGTGCTAAACTCTGATATTGAGTCCTATGGGGGAAGACAAATTCAGACCTGTTTTACTCTGTTTGATTTAAATATGGTCCTTCTTTAGAGGAATCGTTCATATTCTCCTTGAGCAGTATTTAAATGAGGCTGGGTGGGGGGCGGGTACTTTGAAACGGCGAAAATTGTAACATGTGTTTTCTCGGTTTTGGAACTAGGTGCCTGGTGCCTCTGGAGTCCCTTTACACTGAGAGTAAAGACAATACGAATCCATGATTGGTTCCCTTATTTTAGGCCTCCACAGTGTCACAAACGGGAATCAAGATTGGATTCGGATTATTTTATCGCAATTTCTTTGGTTAGGTTTTGATCAGTTTTGTTGATGTTTTTTTTTGGATGACAGACATCGCTGGATTCCTTATCCTTACCCCTCAATATAGCTCGGTTGGTTGCACACTTTTGTGGCACCATGGCCAGCCCAGGCCAACTGATAATCGAGATGTCTTAACTCTGGGTAGAAAGAGACTCTAGGATTGGCCAAAGGGCGCCTCGACAGATGCTCGATGGTGGGGTTTTCGACTTGAACGACGAAAAACGCGGCACGCGACTCTCAGAGTTGACCAAGTTGACCACGACGTCTACGGAGGTCAGGAAATGCGGGGGTGTCCTGGGGTGAGAGATGAGCGCTGGGCTAGGGGTCACATCTGGTTGATCTCAATAAACGCATCTGGGCGCTCGCACTCGCGCAAATGCCACGATGCCAGGTGATGGGCGGAAATGGCCGTTTTGAAGGAGGCAATGGTGGGATCTGCGGTCGGTCTGGCGTCGGTGTTCGACCGTGTGCAGTGTCCCTGTCTTGGGCCCGTGCCCGCGCCTTTAATTCGAGGATGCCGCTCTCCGCCTCTGACCAGTCATCAATCCTGCGGCTTCACCACCGAGTCACTCACTCTTCAAAGCCGTTTTCACACCGTACATTCCCGAGCGTAGATTCTAACAGTTTGCGCATGCGCATAGATTGTGCAGACGGTAGTGGGCAGAGACAAGAGACCCTCCACTAGTATCTTGGCAACAGTGGAAGCTTTCACTTTTGGGACTTCATCATTATATTGTTGACCTAACTACATGGTTGATGGTTAAGAACATGTTAGCAGTTTCGTTTTGCCAACAAGCCGGAGTTTGGGGAACTTGTTTGGCTCATGACGTCACCCGAAGCTCATCATCCACCATGTAGGTAGGTCAAGAGCCGAAATGAGCATAGTGACTGTTGCTCACTTATGATTGTCCATAAAGAATGGAGATGTTGCATGCGTGAGGAATTTGCGATTTGACTGCTGATTCTTATGTAAAAATTCGCGAGAAACACGATAGTGCCACTGGTTTTCTCTGAAATCAACTCCCAAGCTCAAAAACAGCTCTCAAGTTGAGGCCAAAATGGAGGGGATATCCCACGCTATCCTGAGAGTCCACCTCTACACCAAAACAAACTCTCCATGCAAAGATAGGGAGCGAATAAATTGACAGGGCTGCCACTTTGTTTGGGGACTCCACAACTGAAAACACGGCAACCTTGCTAATGTATTTGCCCCCAACAGAGTTTGTCTTGATGTAGATGTGGACTCTCAGGATAGTGTGGGATATCCCCTCCATTTTGGCCTCAACTTGAGAGCTTTTTTTGAGCTTGGGAGTTGATTTCAGAGAAAACAAGTGGCACCATCGTGTCTCTCGCGAACTTTTACATACGAATCAATTGTCAAATCGCAAATCCCTCTGACATGCAACATCTCCATTGTTGAGTCCCCGAAAGTAAAAGCTTCCACCTGTCACCAAGAGGCCAATGGAGGTCTCTTGTCTCTGGTAGTGGGCGGGCTACTCTGCCGTGCCGAGGAAAAACGCCGTATATGAACAATAGATAGTTGCCAAATTTCCCTAGATAAATCATGAATTTTTGAGGAAAATTGTCCACATTTTTCCTTGAGATTTTCATGAATTTTTGAGGAAAATTGTCCACATTTTTCCTTGAGATTTTCATGAATTTTTGAGGAAAATTGTCCACATTTTTCCTTGAGATTTTCAGATATTTTAAACGAAATCGCGAACAAAATTGTCCAAAAAAAATTGAGAAAAAATTTCCACAATTATTACAGTAAATTCGTTTTTTTTTATTGAGGGAAACATGACAACGCCTGAGAGCTCATACGGTGTTCTTCCTCAGCACGGCAGCAACTGAACTGCCGACTGCCCATTTTGCCTGCGAATGCCAAATGCTGCAGTCTGGCTGTTAGTGTGACAACGGCTTTGCTCGATGCGCCATCCTGATAACTGATGGTGATAGGAGAGGGCACTGCTGATGACCTGGGCAGCAATCGCGGATCCACGCCCGGTTTGCATTGCAGTTGAGTGGTTGTTGTTTAGCGAGGAGGCAAGACCACACGCACACGTATGCACATATCTACGCATTCATGATGGCCGTTCTGCGGTTTTGCGTCACTTGTCGGTGATGTTGAATCATGATTACTGCTCAATCGTTATCCATAGGAGCAGTTGTTGCGATATATCGACTGTGTAAGTCCGCAACCACGTATCTCGTTTACAGTGTTTGAAAATCTCCGCTCCTATTTCATATTTTAAAGAAGAGCAAATCGACATCATTGCTTGAAATATTCAAAGAATTTTTCTCGCACAGAGAGGAAAAATCACGGCAGTTTTTAAGAATTGCCGTCGAGTAGTTTTCCGTGTAAAAAATAAAGTATGACGGGAAGCCGGATTAAGATGGTGGCCATATGGGCCGCGGCCCATGGCGGCAAAATGTAAGGGGCGGCAAATTTTGCAATCTTTTTGAATGTAGGTATCAAAAAATGAGAGCAAAAAATCGAATTCAGAAAATAAATTACAAACGAGAAGAGGCGACAAAATCTCTCATTACCTGAGAGTGAAAGTATAGTAATTTCTAATTTTGTCGTCTTTCGGTGATACAAAAGACAACACCTTTAATTAGTCGAGTTAAGAGAGAAACCAAACACGCAATTTGACCTGGAACGGAGCGCGCGGAGCGGCGGCGGTCGGCATGAAACGCATAGCGCCTACAACACTGAATGAATACTTCACGCATTGCGTCAAACACACTGCGGTTAGCAGCAGTTGGCTTGAAACGGAGCGGTGCGAAGGCGGTCGGCATGAAACGCATAGCGCCTACAACACTGCATGAATACTTCACGCATTGCGTCAAACACACTGCGATCAGTAGCAGTCGGCTTGAAACGGAGCGGTGCGAAGGCGGTCGGCATGAAACGCATGGCGACTACAAGACTGCATGAATACTTCACGCATTGCGTCAAACACACTGCAGTCAGCAGCAGTCGGCTTGAAACGGAGCGGTGCGAAGGCGGTCGGCATGAAACGCATAGCGCCTACAAGACTGCATGAATACTTCACGCATTGCGCCAACACAGTGCGGTCGGCGCAGCGGCGGAAGTTAAAATTATTAACCACATTTATGTTTATTCTGTCATAATTTTTTCGTTCGTTTTTTATAAATGGAAGGTCTTATCCAAACAGGGATGGGTTTACAGAACTGAACTTTTGTTAGTGTTGACATGCTTTCACAAAAAATGTGCCCAACACGAGTAAACAAGTCTCATACACCCCTCCCCCACCGGCACTTGATGGTTTTATAGATCGTATTCGAAAGATCACACAGGTGAGATAATATAGATTTCGATTGGTTCAATATGTAAACACAGCCTCAAAAGTCGATTTAGAAATCTAAGGTAACGGGTTTTATGTGATCAAATTTTCACTCTCTCGAGTACCAAATCGCAATGAAGAGTGAAATTTTTAGGAATTTTATCGTTTTCAGCTTTTCCAAATTAAATCTTAAAATTTTTGTTTGAAGTTATGTTCTATTGTTTTGAACTCAACGATACATCGAACCTTCGTCGAATACGATCTAGGTATTGATGTTTCAAAACGAATGAGAAGGGGGCGGAAAAATACAGGCGGCCCATGGGCGGCAAGTAGGTAAATCTGGCCCTGATAGGAAGTCTGCCACGTCGCAAACCGAGACACGTGGTTGCGGACTTACACCGTCGATATGTTTTTTCAAGCTGAGAGAGGGGTATCAGGATTACGACTCGAATGCGGATTACGAGATGTAATGACAATTTTGTCTGAAAACACTCGCAAGGTCACTTTTTGGGCAACATTAATAAAGTCGTTTCAAGGTTTCAAAAAAATGTTTACGGAAATCGAAACTTTTTAAACCTACCGGAATCAGCGTTGGGTATGGGGTGGTAGCAGCTGCAGGGAGAACCTGTGGGAGCACCCCCCCCCCCCCCNTCCAAGTATGAATAAATAGAGAGAACAGGAGATGACCGATTTTCCCCCTGGTACCATCTTGTGTATGTTGGTTCCTTGTTCAACTGTGTATTTGGCGTGATACCATACCTTCGTGCCAAATTCAATAATTCTCCAATTCAGAAAAGCGAAGTAGATGCCACCGTTTCCAATTAAAATCGAAAGTCAGCCTCCACCTCCTATTCTACCGTGTCAAGGAAGAAAGCCTTGTGAGCCTTCGGACACTGCCAGAATTCCTTTGTTAAATAAAACATGATTTTTTTGCGAAACCTGTGAACATTTTTCTTCGAATTTTTCATAGAATTTTATTTGCACTTCGATCTAAAGTCTGTGAAACTTTCAAGGAAAAGGAAAAATACTCAAAACTTCCTCCAAAATAAATCTTGTATCACCAGAAATGTGGCAACATTCGATTGATCATACAGCGTTTTTCCTTGGCATGGTAGTAATTCTCATCCACATCATGGTCATTACGGCAATTGCAGGGGTTTTTCACAGAACAGACTATTTGATTTTTGAAGCCAACCCTTTTATGGTTCTTGCTAAAAGAAAAAAAAAATGTCACGCGTGGGGGATTAGGGTGATCACCTCTGACAAAAATGTCCTAAATATTTGTGTTGGAATTGTTTTTAGCCCAACTCTCCAAATTCAAAAGTCTCACTCATTCAAAAACCTTACTAATTCGGAACATTCATAAATACCTACAAATTTTTCTTCCACCTCTCAAGTTTTGAACTATCATATAACGTAATTTCCCAAGTAATTGCAATTTATTACAACCTGTGCTACTTGGGTAAAATTGATGAAATAACCGATTGACTTATTTTTTAAGAGCCTGTTTTTTCATCAATATTATTACCTGAATCAATCATTGTACCTAAATGTTAATAAAAATGAGCGTTTTAGTTATGAAATAAATGCATTACTTACCTACAAAAAATGGCTAATGTACGATTAACCATTTAGAGGGCTGAGTGCAGTCTGTTACGTTGTTTCCGCAGAAACAATTAAAGGTGGTTTCAGGATTAAAGCCCATTATTTCTCTTTCTTCTTGGATTCGAAATGAAAAAGTAGATTCACAAGTTCCCACGAAAAGCCTGAAATAAAGAAAAACAAATACAAATTGATAAATAATTTATTTCCCTTTTATTTCAAATTTAAGTGAAGGAGAAAATCCTGGCAAGAGCAGAAAAATTAATTCTGCCTCGGCACACCAAGTAATTTGATTTGGATTATTTGAGAAGCAGCGATTAAAATACTGTTCTTAAACTTATAGATAAATTATGGTGGCTTTTGTAGATTCAATATTTTAAAGTTCAATCTGAGATATTATCGATATTGTGTCATTTGGAGATTTTTATTTGCTACCAATAATACATGCCCTAGTCTTAATAACAAAGAGGTTTTTTTTTAGGATACCTATGCATTAATTCTTCAGGCATTATAAAAAACGGAAAATTCAATACATAGAATTCTTATTTTATTCTTAATTCACATCTAGGTGAAATATTTTTCAAAGACTTCGAGGGGAAAACAATTGTATCAGTTGCAAATATTTTGTTTAAGTTGTTCACATTCACCAATACATGAGGACGCTCTGCACCACCTAATCCCTTTGCCTGTTAAAAGAGAGGTTGTCTCGCCAACTGCATCATGCAATTTTATGTGGAACTCAAACATGAAATTCAGCATTCAACGATTGAATCCTATCCTAATCCCTATTCACGATTTTGCTAGGCATCCAATAAGTTTCGTTTCAAGAGAAATCCAATAATTCTTTTTTGGGCAACCTATCATCCGCTATTCTTTGAATGCAACCATACCAGACAAGCTGTATGGTCATGATTTCATACATGGTCTGCTCGGCATTCATTATCTCACACACTCTCCTTTTCCTTATGTGATCTTCTCTAAAAATTTCAGCTGATATTTGCCAGAAATTCGTATCCGATACCTTTAGAAATGATCTAATTTAGGAAGACTACATTTTATCCACAGGATACAATTAGGTAAAAATAGTCACCTCAGAAACTCAATTCACTTCTGCTATTTATTTTCCTTTTTTTTTCAAGAGTTTGATGCAAATATGAAATATAATTGAAAATGAAAATAATTCTGTAGAGACAAGGTAGATGTGAAAAGAAAATAATGGTACAAACCTTGCATGAGAGCATATTATTTGATCAATGATAGCAATGCCACCATCTTTGAACTTCTTAATTTCATTAGGTGACGGTTCATATTTGACGATGTTGAAATCTTGAAAAGAACTTTTCAGCTCTGTAAGTTCTAAAAGAGGGAATAAAACAGCCGTTAAAATTAAAGTATATAAGAATTGCTAAAAAGCAATTAGACTGAATGAAATTCTCTAGTAGTGCTGTGGCTTGAAGGGAATTTCAGAATCTTTATTTTTCAATGTAAGGAAATTCTCCTTTTTCAGCCAATTATGGGGTCATTTAAATTATAGACTTCTTTTTTTCCTGCGCTAAATAGAAAAATCGCAAGCATTCACACGTTCTTAAACCAGTTGTAGAATCTTTAGTGCGTTTCCTATTCACACTCTTATAGCTTTCATTCTGCATCTATAAAACCATTGACAAAAGCTTTACAAGTTACAAGAATGGGCGGATTGAGAGAAGAAAAGCTGGCAAAACTTTTAGGAGTTTACCCGAAGAAATTTTTGTTTTAAAAAATACATTATTATTTTGAATACTACAATTTTACTTTTTAAGTGGCACCAGTCCAAGTAAGTATTTACTATATATAAAAAATAGAAATTGAAAAAAAAGTACCTTCTTGGGATGCATCCGTGGAAATAAAAATTGTTTCTACGTCTGTATATGATTTCTGATACTTTCTAATCTGGCTGGCAGCATTTTCGAAGTTAGGGACAAGATTGGGTCGACCCATTAAAAAATCTCTTCTTCTCAGATGAGCGCAAAAGTAAGGGCCGCCCTTTGCGTTTCGCAGGGGCTGGAAATATGAGATACTATTAAAAACAGTGGTATACAAAAGACTGTTGTTCAAAACTAGAGTTAGAAATCAGAGAAAAGTTAGTGAAATGTGTACTGAGCTGCTCAATACATTTGAGCTGTCTGTAAAGGAGGGATTTAGTGTCTGAGGTTTTGCCTCCTGTTACATAGGATTGAGTCAAAGGGGTCAAGGACTCAAGGGGTCATTTTCAAGGGTATGTTCAGGATTATAAATAATGAAGAAGGGTGGCTTAATTTTTAAAAAAGTAATGTGCATACCTACCGAGCTGAAGAGAAATACTGTGTAAACAAGACTTAATTAAGAAAACTCAAGTTATTTTGTAACTTTTTTCTTCCATTTGTCGAATGATAAAATCGGCTTTTCTCTGAAATGAAAAGCATTATCAATGAGCTGTAATGGTTTTGTGGTTAAACTTTACTTAGTCTCCACAAATAAGTAATTTTAGTGGATTGATAAAAGTTGACGCAAATTGGAACGCTGATATTAAGGAGGCGTCAGTAGTGAGGGTAGACAATGGCCAGACTAAACTAGAGTCCACCAATCGGTAAGCATTGCAAGGGGTAAGAGTCAACAGTGCTTGGTGCATGGAAGAAAAGCCATGAGAGCCAAAAGCAATCGTTTAGTTTGAAAACAAACTAAACGATTGCTAGGAGCAATGCTTACGAGTTGACAACACTGTGATTCGCCTATCGAAATGTATGGAAAACAATCGTTCACCTTGAATCAATAATTCTGAAATATTTGAATGGAAGAAACACACTGTAGCCAACTTGAAGGAATTGCCACTGGTATGAGCCACTAACCTTTTCTTGAGTCCAATCATCAGGACGATTTATGCCATCACTTTCATCAGTTGAGTTCAAGAAAGTTGCTCTGAAATATTTAGCAACTTCCTCCAGATGTTTCGCAAAACGCATACTTCGACGGCATCTCCAGTATTCTCTGTTACCAAAATGATTGTGGAGGGCAATTTCAGCATGGTCAATCAAAACAGCTCTGACACAAAAACAGGAAACAAAAATTATTAAGTTTGGCGTAACCGAGTATTTGGCAATAAGAATCAATGTGTGGAAAATTTTGGATATTAGATAATTTTCCCTCCGGGTAAAATTTAAAGCACTTGTAGAAAGAAGTTTCAGTAACTTAAGTAGAAAGAGAGCAGAACAGAAAGTCCCCTGAATTGTGAAGATCTTGTATGAAAACACACATGATGAAGTCACTGTGGTAAAAATTCAACTTTTACCAAAAGTCAGAAAAATTAGAATAATAAATGGGTGGCTAAAGTTAAAAAATACATAACTCGAATTGCAAACTTTGCAAATCTCTACTTTGATTTCATTTCTTCAAACAGAAAACTGGGCAACAATTTATTTTAAATTTTGTTGTTATGTACTTTTTTGCACATTCAAAAATAGCTTCGGAAAATTTCAAGAGAGTATTATATATTAAGTGCTTATAATTTTTAAAAAAATGAAACGTAAAGATTCGCTTTTTGGACGTTGGCTATTAAAAGAACGTTGAATACCTACCTATCTCTATTTAGTTCCAACAATTCTTTCAATTGTTTAACTTGACCTTGGAAGGAAACACACTTCACTTCAAAGGCTGTTATATTGTCATAGCCCCAGACATCGCCATGGTATAATCCATCTCCATCCCTGTAAGTATTCAGAAACACACTGGATTTAGTTAAACATAAATCACTATTAGTGTGAGATTTTAAAGGAGACTTTGCTCAGCTAAGATAAAAATAAAAAAATCAATGCACACATCAAGAAATTCTGAAATTCACATAATTTAGTGAAAGATGATGGTGCAGTCAGGATTGTCACTTAGAAAAAAACCCTATTTGCTCAAGCAGGTACAGCATCTTACATTTCAGTCATTTTGCTCAATACACAGAAAATTCATAGGTATTATTATTATTAGGTATATATGTTAATCTATTATTATTATTAATAATCGTTTTTGTCAAGTTGCTTCAGAAAGGCGGCACTTTAATGATCATCAGAAATAGCTCTCAAGTTTACCATAGAGTAAGTTACCGGCAGTCAATTTCATTTTCTTGCTTATAGAGGGCGAAAAACGTAATTTTACATGGTAAATTTTTAGTCCCGACCGCTACCAATAAAAAATGTAAAAAGCTTCTCCTTGAAAATTCGTTTTTTGAACTACAAACTTGGAACCCCTCTTTAGACCTCCAGTATGATTTGAAATTTTTAAGTATTTTTCTGGCAAAAATATTTTGTAAAACATTCCTACAAGTAGCTTTGCAGTAAGTGCAATCACTTCAATGTTAAATTTTTTAAAATGAAATGACACAATATTTTTTTTCCTATGAATGATTACGGAACTTTTAATAAGGGTTATCTTTGACTTTTTCCTGGTACATAGCATATCATATGCTTTCTTAGGAAAAAAAGAAATGAAGGTAAAATATTATAATCAATTTTGTAAACCTTGAAAAACTATTTCTGGAAGAACAATTTTCAAAAATCCATTTTTCTTCCCATTTGAAGTCACCTTTCCATGCATTTTTGAAATTTTGCAAAATGTACACAGCATCAAGGGGTTTACTGCCATACTCTGTAAAAAAGAAAAATAAAAGAGGAATAGCTGATGATTTTTATGGTTAACTTAATTACTGATAGGTAATTTATCCTGGAGAAACAGAGAAAACCAATCAAGGATATATATTTTTTATTGCTACCAAAATTGGAGAAATTGATGAAAAAATACCTTGAAAAAATTGAGAGGTTTCAATGACTGGTGCAAACTTTTGTAAACTAGGGAGATCAAAGTACTGGGACCAGGGTATGTGATTTTGAGTAAACGGTGATTTCCAATGGTACAGATGCGTCCAAGATGGGAGGACCTTAAAAAAGAGAAAAGATAAAATAATACAAACTTCTTGGATGGTTTCAAGCAAGATTTAAAAATCATGATTTAGTTCATGATCATAATTTCTTGTGATCTAGGCATGACCGGCTAAGCAATTTATACTTTTCTCATTGCCACTGTTCTTTCAGAATTTTAGAGCAGCCAGTTGTACAAGCAAGGAGGGTTTTTTCCTTTTATCATAATCTCTTTCCACACAAACAATTTTGGGATTTAGTGACAGTATTTATTTGTGAACTTTTAAAATTGAAGCAGTAACTCCACAACACGAGCCGTGCTCAGTGTGGAAATTGAAAAAAAATGTGGAAAAAAAATGTAATGTCTGTGGAATTTGTTTTTTCTGAATAAAGTATGATGTTAAGTATAAAGTAAGAGAAGCCTCAGAATTTTTATTGACAGGCAATTCTAAGGGATAAATTATTAATGCGTTGCATTCAGTTTTTCTTTATTCAATTGATGCATCTGCCTACTCCATGTACCATCTGCTAAATTTGCCTGGACATTGAGCTATGGCACCTAAAATATGGGTTGGGTGGGTCATCATGGCACCTAAAAAAAGTTGATGCAACCTGCTGATTTTTTCACATTTTCTATAGAGAAGCAACATTAAGTGAGCAAAAGTTTAGAGTGGCTATTATTAATTTGTAGATGGCTCTCAAAAATGAGGCTTTATGTCTAAGACAGCTCGTGTAATTTTGATACAAAGGCAGACCACTAATTTGATAGCATTTTCAGGTACTTGATACCCATGCTACACACATAATCGAGCGAATATATAAAAAAAGGCATAAGTTTTCTCACCAGGTGCCAATCTCCACTATCTGCTAGACTCCTAACAAATATAGCCATCCTCATGAATACATCTCTTCTTAAATTGAACCCTTCTGGAGCATTAACATCGTAAAGAATGTACCTAAAAATAAATATTTTGAGATCAGGTACAAAAAGTCTAAAATAAGTATTTGGACACTTTGACAAGTAAAAAACAAAATTATTCAGTTTTAGAGCCTCTTCAACTGACTTTAGAGGGTTTTATTCAAGCAAAATTTTATGATCTTGTGTACCTACAACTAATGACTTAGGGTTGGTTCAATTTTTGCTTGGTGCTTACCAATGCATCATTTATAATATAGTGTACATTCATCTATACATCATCCTTAACATATGGGCATTAAGATACGGCACCTGCCACCTATCCCTTTAATGAGAGTACTGCTAACCTTCATGGCCAGGGGGTGTGCTGTGGTTAAGAGTTGCGGGTCTTAGCCCACTAAAACGCTGCTGCACACTTGAGAATACCTCTATCCTCATCTACACACAGTACTTGCAGTTTTGGCCTCTGTTTCTGCTCTTTGCTTGCGACTGGTGAGGACTAAGATTTTTTGCTTGTCATTCCCCTCCTGGGCAATGGTTGTCATAATATAATTTTTAGTTTAATGCCGATTTTGCTGAATTTTTCAATCATTTTACCAATATGATTTTCTCTGCACTTTGAGGCTAAAAAAAACAAAAAAAAAAAAACTGTGGTATCAATTGTGGCTTCATCAAGGAAAGGAAAACATAAGGTGAGAGGAGTGAAGTTGATTGTACACAGCTATGAAAACCATAAAATGTGGAGGAGAAATTGGGGACCAGTACATCGATGGCTACAGTGCAACACTAAGTATCTCCATTGGGGTGTTTCGGAATCTCTGCTTCTTGTTTTTTTTTTCTCAGAGAAACAAGTCAACTTAATACCTTGAAATTTATAAAAAATATTCTACTAACAGAGAAGAATAATCAAAGAAGTTTTCAAGAAATTACATTGGCTAGTTTTCCAAGGAGAAAATAAAGTGTTACTGGAATTCTTCAACGTTACAGATGAAGATAGAGCTCACGCATCGTATGTTGAGACAAATGTCAATTATCTCCGATTAGCTCTGAATTCGCACCACTCAACAAGTTAATACATTTAGTCAGGTGGCACCACTGGTGAATGGTGACATAAACGATACTTTGATGTTTGTCTCAACATACGATGCACGAGCTCTACGTGGTCTCACACTTTCCCTGTCAAAATTATTTCACTATTTCTTATAAAGTAAACAATGTGCAGCCAATCTATTAAGGCGCACACTTATGAGAGCCACCCAAAACTGTAAGGTCTTTACCTCCATTTTCTATCTAAAGAGAGTTGGGAAACACGTGAATGAGGGACTATTTTGGCTGATTAACTATCAGGTGGCAGATCAGTAAGCTTCCAAACACTGCCTACCAGCATCTGATGGCAGTGATGAGTTTATAAAAAGAACAGGCTTGGTATTTTCCTATGCACTGTATCTCCAGTATCAAATAATTATCATATTCAATGAATTTTACATGGCATTATCAACCTACATTCTGCTTTTGTAAATAATCAGCTTGATCCTTGAAAGAAATACCTACCTCGGAACAGAGGATGCAATGGAATTTGTTCTCTTAGAATTGGTAGGTGACTCTTCGTGATATGAAACACACTTATCCTCGAGACAGGACGTCCTAATTGTAGAATCAGACAACAGTAATGTGGCGATGAGAATAGTTACGACATCCATGGTCTAACTATAAGTCATACTTTATTTCAGAACTCATACTCAGTGGGCTAATGTCATTCTCAAAGGTACTGAATGTTTTCAACTGTTAGGAGTTTATGACTGACTTCATGGTACGGACGTATTAAAGTTACAGTAACCACTACAAAACGCGTCAATAAATAAAGAAAAATATGTATTTATGAAGGTATAAGACATACTAGGTTTCCCCCGGTTTGCGTGGATGTCTTTGGCGTGGATCAGGATCGTGGATTGACTGATAACTGATAAGAGGTTGTTTATATTTACATCGGCGGTATTGCACTGTTGCTAACTTGTGAATGATTTCCTAGCTTTTGAAAACTTGAAAAGCAATCAAGGAATCGAGGTCAACGACTCTGTTCTGACTCTAAATGTGAAAATGTATGTTTGAAATTATTTTGAAAATCTCACGCGCATGAAAACTTATCGACAATTCCAAAAATCTGAATTCAAAATTTCAATATTCTTCAGCAACTAGCAACATCGCAAATTGTTTTTTTTTTTTTGCTCAGAGGTTAGGTTGTCGTGTTTACCATTTCTCTGATTTAAATATGTTATCTCTTATCTCACACTGCTTACGCCAGTTTTTGTGAAAAACATTCCCTGTGATTTTTAACTTTTCCCTAATCCTTTTTTTCATAAGTGCTCCTCTCAAATGAAGCTCTCTCGGAGAATGCGATAACTTTAAAGAAGTGTGATTCTTCGTGTAAACAGTGAATTCCTCCTATTGTAAGAATCGTACCTAATTAAGTGTGTAAGTACCTAGTGTGTTTTCAGTTTCGCGTTCAGATGAAATGCTATCCACAACAGTAAAACAAATTTTTAAGGAAAATTTCCTCTTAAATCATTCATAATGTCTTCTTAGAAGAAATTGGAAGGGTGAACAATTTTAACTACCCATCGGAATGTTGACCTAGGGTTTCAAAAACTTCTGAATCATACAGCTTGCCGGGCGCATTTCATAATATGACAACTGCAAAAACAGGTTTTGAATTAGGAAGGGCGCAAAAGTAAGCCATAGAGATGGAGAGGCTGTCCTGTATCAGCAAGAAAATTGCGCCTCTTTCTCAAAATTGTCTTTAAAAATACAGTAATGAGAACAAGTATCATCACTTTGAATTTATAATGTGGTGAAGCAAATTTGTAAAATGGGAATATGTAGATTTTCTCGCATCTCTGGGTTGACCCCAAATCCTTTTCCAAATTTGTTTCCAAAACTGGAATCTGAAAAATTACTTTTCCCGTCAGATATAGTTTTAAGTAACAATGTAGTAATATACTTAGTGCTGGGTCCACACCATTTTGCGGAGAAAGCAAGGCCAAAAATATAACAAATTTCAATTAGTCATAAATTTAAGCTTTAATGAGGATCAGTACAAGGATGAGGGGGGAGAGTGTTCAGCTCATGCATCTTGTCGCATTCAGCTGGGTCCACATTTTTTAGCGTTTTTTATCTCACCTATAGTTTTAAGTAGATATACGCAACATCAAATAGTTTCTTAAAGCGGAGACATTGTTTGTTCAGACAAAAATCAAGTATTGTTTAGGTCACCACTCATCAGTGGTGCCATCTGACTGCATGTATTAACCTGTTGAGTGGTGCTGATTCGGAGGTATTCAGAGATTGACATTTGTCCGAACATACGATGTCTCCGTTGTTCGCCAAATTTTCCTGGCAAGCATCAGCAATGGCTAAGGCTAAAAGCTAAGACATGTGACTGATCTGACAAAAAGAGCTCTGCAGAGCTGATCAAAGTTCACTTTATTGTTGCATCATCACTGAGCTACATTTTATCTTGTATCTTGACATATTAAGCCCAACTCCAGAAGTTTTTTGAGTGTAAACAATTCTTATCATATTATTTAATCCATTAGAGGAGTGAGCACAAGTTAAAATTATGTTGTTTTATCAAATACTAACAATAAGTGATAAACCCAAGGAAGTATATACTGCTCTGTCCATTTTTCTCTCAGTTAAATATGATTGTCATTTTAAATTCTTCACCAACGTTCATATAATATTTTCTGTCACTTCAAGTTGTCATCCCCAAAGAGAACTAAACCAGTCATGTGTTCATTTTTCTAAAATTTGCTAATTTGTTCATCAGGTATTGTGGTTTCATCATGTATCGAGGTACAAGGAATTCCATTTTACAGTATTGTGAACCACCAAAAAGAGGAACCTTTTCAATGGTGACTGTGCTAGGATTTGCTATAGCCACGATTTTTCTCGCGTACTTATCTTTTGGAAGCAGTCCCAAAGCGGAGCCTACCCTGCGCTTCGTCAGCATTGTAAGCATTGTAACATTATAATTAATTGTTTCTGAAGTTACTTAAATGTATTTTTTGCAAGCAGAAGTCACTGTAGGTATTTACACTCTCTCTTTTCCAAGCTGAATTGATTGTGAGCCGCTGTGGATTTATAAATAATAATTTCCTCTTTATTAAAACATTATTTCAAGGTTCAATACCTAACTAATCATCGAACAAAACACATATGTTCATGGAAAAACGTGCAAGTTGATTGCAAATCTTTTTATTTTTCATGAGTTCATGTCATGAGAGTTACTTTATTAAAATGCTGTCCTCACTCTCAGTATTGCTCCACTTACTTACTCCCTTCATCAACTTGATGAAAAATTATTTAATGTCCGTCTTGTTTTTTTGCAGGTACATAGACATGGTGAAAGAGTACCCACTTTTACATACCCGTTGGATCCCTTTCAAAATGAATCTTTCTGGTCAGAAGGGAAAGGGCAATTGATGAACGTAAGGAATCTTCTTATCACCATCGATTTAGAAATTATACTGCTTCTTTTTTTCTTGTTTTGTGTTTTCTGATGTTGTACCTAACTGTTCAATTTGCAGACTTCCTGGTTTTTTTTTTCCACTCTGGGAAATCATCACTTTTCTTGTCATGAAATGGAATGCCGGGGATTGTGAATATTTTCTCTTAATTTTTCAATTGAATCGACGTATGCAAAAATGTCTGATGTCCCAAGGCAGTGTTTCAGAATTTGAGTGGACACTTTTATTGTAACTTAACGACACAAGATGGTTTAAGATGTTCAGAATGTAGAATAAATTTTATAAATAATCTCCTAAGTGTAATTAAACGTTTACCAAAGAGATCGATCCTATTCATCAGTGTCAAGGGACAAAAGAAACCTACCGCAAATATGAAACCCTGTATTGGACAACGAATGTTTTCGCATACGTTGATTCAATTATTCATGTAATATTCATCTAGTATTTCATTTTTTCTCTCTTTCTTTTGTGAATGGTGCTGAAATTCTGAAGAATATGCTTTGTATTTGTGGTGCATCCGAGGGAAAGGGGACTTAAGGTGAGAAGAATAAAAATTGATGTAACCATATTTTAGCATTGAGGGGTTTCTTAATTCTGAATTATTTGCTGCAAAAATATTTAAAAATTAAAGAAAACGACCTTTCAAGGCATTTCAGATTGTAAGAACGAAAAAATGCAGTTTCAACCAAAAGAAAGTCAAAGTTTTGAGTCACATTATGAATTCATTTTAAAAATAAATTACTGCTTGAGTAATGACCTCAATATTTCATAATGAACTTTAATATTCATGTCTGTAAATAAAAACAGAACGTTGCCATCATGTTAGCTTTTGATAAGCTGTTCATTTTAGTCAAGATGGAGTTCCCGCATTGTCGCTGGTTTTGACCTCCCTCATTCAATACAATTTCAGCATCGCTATAAATGCAAATTTGAACTTACAGTTCCGGAGATATGTAGAAATTGATTAGAGTGAAAAAACTGAAAATCCATTATTTCGGCCAAAACCACATTTTATTACTCTCCTGTAAATTTTGCAACTCACCTTTGGTCCCTTTTCCCTCAGATGCATCAGGTGCATCATATTTATATCAAGACATTGTTGTACACCTAGTCAAAAGAGCAAAGGAAATAATTTTGTATCATACGATGGTTATAAAATCAGTCTTCAATTTTTCATCATCATTAGTGTCAGCAGTTTTACAAGATTTTTGGTCTCCTTAAACTGTTTCTCTAACTCTTAACTCTCATGTCTTCTCTTTGTAGATAGGTAAGCTCAATATTTATGAGCTGGGAAAATTTTTGCGGAGCCGCTATGATGGTTTTATTCCGGCAAAATACAAATCCTCTCACATTCATGTTCGTTCAACCTATGCTGATCGATGTATCATGAGTGCCCAAGTTCTACTAGCAGGATTATACCCTCCTGTTGACAGTCAGATTTGGAATAAGGATCTTCTGTGGCAACCTATTCCTGTACATTCTGTTCCAAGGAATATGGATAATGTAAGTCCTCCATTTTCTTATAGAGGCTGAAATGTGAAATAAAATCTAGCAAGTCCAAACTATAATTATAAAAATCAAATAGATACGGATCCAGAAAGTTTTTTTGCCTTCACATATTTGAAGGCTGTCTGCACATTGCTCCTCACATAAGACTTCCTTTCCTTCACATTTTCTGAGTCAGTCTTTGTATTGCTGTCCACTTAAGACTGTGTGTTTCAATATTTGCTTTGCATAAAACATGCAGCTCACAGTAAAAATTTTGCGCCTAGCAGTTTCCCTCTGAAAGAATACCGTATTTAATAGTTTCAGTCACAAAAAGTTGCGCGGCCTTCACATTTTACAGACTCCTTCTCACGGCTTACACATATTGAAAGCCCCTTCTGACGGCCTTCACATTTCAAATACCAGTTTTCGACAACCTACACATTTTTATTGCAACTGACAGCAACTGTATTGATAATTTGCTTGCAGAAATTTTGCACCCTTGAATATAGGTGCATTTATAAACGAAAAAACACTTTTAAAATTGAGCCGTCTGATAAATATTATGGCAAAATTGAAACAGTATTTTAAATGTGAAACCATCAACAAGCAAGAAGCATGATGTGCATAAATTAATTAAATAGGTGTTTGGTGGTTTTCATACACCAATTTCATGTGTTACTAAGGCTAATGAAAAAAAAAAATTGAAAAGTAACTAAAAATCAGTTGTTATTTTCAGCTGCAAACCTTCAATAAGCCAAATGTGTTCCACGGTCACATTTTTTTTTTGTATTTGTTTTACTTGTGTTTCTTAATTTGATGTGAAACTGAACCTGCATACTTTCGACAATTAACTAGTAAATGAATCTGGAAAGTCTTTAAGAAGAATTTGGAATCCCTCTTACCTCATGTTCACTAGTAAAAGTTGCATTTCAATTGGTGAAATTGACCATTAAGTATAGTTTGATACCTTGCTCTTGAATAAATTGCCAAAATTTTGTATGTGAGTGATGCCAACACCATGTACAAGGGTTGTACAGAAAGTAAGTTCACTTTTTCAATATCTCCTAAACTAAGTTAGGCAAAGAAAATCTGTAGAAATCGTTAAAAACTTACTACTCTCAGCTATCTAATGCGCTTTATATTTTTAAATTTGGTTTGATAGAACTCGAGAAAAAAGGGTTTTTTTGAACCCACCTCCTCTTCGCACGGGTCCAAAATTTCACGGAGCTTCATTCGCAAGTGAGCCGCTGTGTCTATCGCTTATGGCAAAAAAGTGGCTTGGAGGTGGTTGAAATATATGTAAAACATGAGAAAAGACTTTTCTCAGGTAGGAAATAGCAGGATTGACCGTGTTTACTTTGATGATTAAAAGGCTTTGGACTGCAGTACATGGAAATGTCAAGCTACATTTGGTCAACTCTTGGAGTTGTAACCCTGAATTTGGTCTCGGTGTCTGAATTGAGTTCTATTATTCGTTCTCTTGCCAAGAAAAGTGACCCTAACTGCACAAATTCAGGTTCATTTATTGTAAAAAAGTTGTAAAAGCTGCATATTTTTCCAAATCATGGATCTTTGACGAAATTTCTTTGAGAACTGGCAGGATAATTTGAATGCTTATGAAGGATTCAGTTAGGTAGTGAGCATTCACGTTGACAATTCTGTAAACTTTTGCTCGGATGCAGCTGATTTTGAAGTAAACACGGCTAAACTTGTTATTTCCTACCTGAGAAAAGTCTTTACTTATGTTTTACATGTATTTCAACCACCTCCAAGCCACTTTTTTGCCATAAGCGATAGACACAGCGGCTCACTTGCGAATGAAGCTCCGTGAAAGTTTGGACCCGTGCAGAGAGGAGGTGGGTTCAGAAAAACCCACTTTTCTTGAGTTCTATCAAACCAAATTTAAAAATCTATTGCGCGTTAGAGAGCTGTGAGTAATGGCTTTTCAACAATTTCTACAGATTTTCTTTACCTTCTTTAGTTTAGGAGATATTGAACAAGTGAACTTACTTTCTGGGCGACCCTCGTATTAATTTTTTTTTTCAGCTTGGAACTGCGGTTTAAGTCTCTTGTATTTATTTTTGTTTCATAAAATGAAGCAGAGTATTGCTCAAAGGGTTGGTGTAGTCAAATGGAGAATGGAAGTCTTGATCCTTCTCACTATTTAAATTTTTTTAAAATTTGTAGTCTCTCAATAATTTTCTCCGCTTCCAATTATTATTTTGTATTTATTGTTTACAGGTTTTAATCTGTGGCACAACACCTTGCCCATTGTTTGTGAAAGAAAAGGCAGCTGTTGTGAACAGCTCAATACAGAAAATGATGGATGAGCATCGACAATTAATTGATCATCTGTCCAAAATGACAGGTGTGGAAATGAAAAGTGTTATGGATATTGAGTTACTCTATGATAATCTACTAATTGCGGTTCGTTTTTTAATATTTATCTCGTTATTAATATCATTTTTTCGTTTTTTAAGTAATTCTTTAAATGGAAAAGAAAATAAAAATTTAATGTGTGGTCCATTTACCGCTCAAGGCAATACTTCCGGCGCAACAATATTAAAATTTAAATAGTTGCATTATTTTTATCACTACTTTTTATACACAGTGGATGTATACTTCAAAGAGCAGACTAATGAATATGCAGGTAAATGTATTTAATAGTGCACCTTTGCTGATATGTATTCAACTCAATCAATGAATCAGTCTTGGTTTGAGCCTGTAGATCAGCAAATAATAATAAGATCTCTCCAAATGGCTAGTCCCTATGCCCAATTTTTACAGAGATATTGCTCCTCTAAAAACATGGCATGTCATCCATTGCGGTAGTACATACCGCGGTCTCTTCCATTTTAGAGTCATCAGTCAGCAATACACACATTTGCACTGATCGTTTGAATTAAAATATGGATGAAATTGCGGTGGAAGAAACCAGAGTTTGTATTGCTGCGGTGGATGACATTATATGCCCATTTTTAAAAGGTGATGTTTTTGTCAATATTGCGCTTGAAAACTTGGTGTTTGAACTGATCTTAATATTTTTTGCTGATCTATAGTCTGAAATCATCTTAACACAATTCTTTGACCAGCGTAATTGACCCATTTGACTTTAACTAGTCATGAGCTGTCTCTGTGGGCAGTGTACGAGCAATTGGTCCCATAATTATTTTAAATTCTTCAGTACTATTTTGACTAAAATTCACTTCATGAAGATAACTTTAAAGTAATTACAATGTGTGTGTAAATGTCGGCTACAAGTCATAGACTGCGGATTCATGAGTATTTTTCTTCATGGGTGAAAAATCTAACAAGTTGAGTTCAAAAATCAAAGCAAACCCACTTTAAAAAATGTGTGCATTTTGCAATGAGCGTAGATTTTTCATTTGAACCCTCTTTTTGTCTTATTGTTCATGTAGGAAGAGCAAGGGTATAAACTTCCTGAATGGACCCATGGTATCTATCCTGACAAACTGAAACCATTTGCCATGGCATCGCTATCTGTATTTTCAGAAACACCAACTTTAAAGAAGTTATGTTCAGGTAAGGCAAGGAAAATCTCTCTCTCTCTTCCCCCCCCCCACATTTTTCGCTTCTTTGAATAACTGGAAAGGAGCTCAATAAAGATGTGAATAGTAAAGAATAAAATAATTCAGGAGGTTCCTGGACACCAATACTTACGTTTTTTCAAGTTAAAAATTTGAATAAAAATAACCACAGGTCTGCTGTTTTGAAAGAAAACAACTCTGCATCAATGCTTACATTTTACCAAATATCTTTAGATAAAATGCACATTTTTTAGAAACTAAAACCTATTATACTTGGAATTCCTGAGTGTGAGCAGCTATTTTCAATAAAATATTTCATTTTTCCAGAAAAATTGGTCACCCATTTTTATTGTAAGCGGCTACAGACAAAATTTTAATAAATGGTTTCTTAGTAATTTTAATTTATTTGTTGTCCAATGCATAGCAAATCTTTATTTTTACTTAAATTGTACATAACTAGAGTGACCATAATTTGTATTATTTGATCCTTTTCACCTGTTTGTTACACTTTAACTCAATATTTTTCTCTGATTGTCCTGTCTAGGGCTTCTAATACATGAGATCATTACAAACATGAAAAATAAGACGAGTTCAGCCGACTTTGACCGTCTTTTAACATTATATTCGGCACATGATCTGACCGTACTTTCTCTGTGGCGAAGTTTAGGTGTAGTTCAAGAAGTACCAAAACCTAATTATGGTGCTACTTTCATCATTGAACTACATCAGATGAGTAACAAGTATTTTGTAAAGGTAGGTTTGTTTAATTTTTAATGTTTTTTTTTCCATACCTACCTAATTCTTTTTTTTTTTTTGTGTATGAAATTTGAATCATTCAAGGGTTTTTTTTAATTTTTTATAGGTAGATTGCCCTACAATGAAAGATATTTGTTCCCATGTTCCAAGGCTGTTTAATCTATTTTAGTTTTCCAATTTTTATGAAATTAGACTAACATAGTCTGAATTTTTAAAATAAGAATTGACAGGGCGTCTACAAGTCTGGAAAACTTACGAAACTGGAAATTTCATCAGGTCATGCAAATCAGGGAAAAACCAGAGAATTTTACCAATGGAAATTTGGAAAATTTCGAAACTTAAAATCTTGAAAAACATTAGCACTGTCCAAACAATCAGACAGGGTCTCCATTTGGTCTGAGATTCCATGTGCTGAATTACACCCTGAATTGTAAGTAAAAGAATAATTTTCAACAAGGAATTGCAATTCAATCAACTGATGAATAATTCATACCTGAGGAAAAACGGTTCACATGTCTCTATAATTTGTGGTGAAATTATTGGTAAAAGTATTTTATTTTTAGTTCTATGTTATGATGTAAAGTCTGGGTATTTTGATCATTATGGTCCATGAAAACCTGGAAAATTCAAAGAATTTTACCTCGCAGAGTCTGTCAACAGAGGAGGGCAAAATCTTCTAAGCTTCCATATTTTCACGCACCTTCGGCTTTCCACATTTTTCTCATCAGTTTTCCACAAAATTTCCCACCAATTTAAAAAAGAGATGATGTTCTTCTCCTGTTTTCCTTTGATTTTTGACTTTTGGCCCCTCAAAATGTTCTCTCCTTCCACATTTTTGGGGCTTTTCCATATTTTCACGTGCTTGGGCGGGCGCATGATCAGACATTTTCTGCATTCCTGTGTCAACATTCTGGTTGATCTTTAAATGCAAGTGAGTATGGAGTTGTCTTTGGGTATTGCAGACTCCAACAGTAATGTTTTCCTTTAAAGTCCTTCAGGATAGTCTTTTATCATCTTCAAATCAATTATTTGTGTAGTTTTCTTCACAGCAATCATGGAATAGAGTTTTCTTTTGTTTGTTTTCAGTTGTTGTACAAGAACCATGCTCTGGACAAAGAACTGACTGTCCTGAATATTGAAGGCTGTGATAGTGTCCATGACGGGATGTGCGATCTTGATCATTTTGCCACTGCTCTAAAATCTGTCAGCATTAGTAACTATGACCAAGAATGTAATAAATAACTGAAATCGTAAGTAATCGATATTGAGTAATAATAATGGTAACTGAAAAATTTCATTTCCGCACCTATCTACCATTCAAGTATTATAGCGCACATTCTAAGGAGATGGGTCTGCTATATTTCATATTAGAAACAAAAGTGTGATGCAAAGTGCCTTACAGTGGGAAATGAGGTACATATAAAAAGTACTTAGATGAACTAAACTGTGTTTTGTAATCAGGTCTCTGAATGATAGTTTAATGTCCTATTTTTCCTGCTGCTTTGTCAATAGTACATCTAAAATTGTCCGTCATACAGTTATAAAGTCATGTTCAAAATTCTGCAGCCAACTTTACGCAAAGGAGAAAGATTTTTTGTGTCTCCATAAATATTTTTTTCTCTCTTTATTTTTTAAATTTTAAGTCATATCAACTGCTCTTTTTAATCATTGAACTTAAGATTATTAGATCTGATACCACATGACCCCATTTGAATCATCATTTTCAGCAAATGGTATGATCAATTTCGTATGTGCTTGCTCAGCCACGATGAAGCTAAAAGTGCTCTCTTTGAAATTATCATCTTAGCTTCTTGTAATTTCCAACGCGCATCTCACCAAGTAAAGTATCTCAAAAGTATTAATGTTAAATTTGCATTTATTGATACGCGATTAAATCAGCTTGCCCATCGGTGTGATTTTCAAGTTTTTGACCGAATAGTACGCAGACTGGGCAATTATTTCTACATGACAGAATGCATATACCTGAGTCTTTCATCATTGTAGGAAATGGGTTTTAATGTAGTGTGAATTAATATTTTTTCCATTGATTTAACAGAGATTAATGATCTCAGTGTCATTCTCAGTTGCTCTGCTCAAGTTAAAAGTATGAATGTGAGTGGGTATGAAGCACCTCTCACATGAGAGACAGAAGTAGCCATTATGTCTAAATAACATTGTTAGGAACAACTACCAATGGCTATGGTACAATGTCAGCAATTCTGTCACTAATGTAAGATTAGTGACAATGTTAGGTTTAGTGTAAGGTTAGTAATGTGTGATTAGTGAAAGTAAGAAAACAAGTTTATATGTAATTTCCTCATTAAACAGTCTTCCATTAGTTTTTATTGATGTTCGTCCAATCAATTACATGTAAATAATAGTTATTAAAAATGCTGTGAGAAATTATGCTTTAGGAAGCTGTCAGAGGACTAGTTGGAATAGTCAAGTTTCCTATTCGAAAAAGGATAATGTGTATGTAAAAAAATAACACAGGCCCAAAAAAAAAGGAGAAAAGGCGAAGTATGGATGGATGAAGGAGATGAACCAAGGCCATTTTTAAATCAGCACGATGATACACACAATAATTATCCACTCCAAGTTCAGCTTCTTTTTTAGTGCAGACCTGAGAATTTTACGAACACATATCAACCCCCATTTTGACATTCCGAGTCTATGACTATCTTGCAGCTGTAAACCTCAATTCTAGCTTTTGTTTTGTGCCAATGAGAATGTAAATCAAATGATTAAATAAGACATTTTGTTCACTTTTACTCGTTTTATCAATTAACTTTTTAAGAAATTGTTCAATTTTAATCAATGAATAAGTTTTATTTTATACAATTTTTTATCATGTTCAATTTTTCTATTTTCGTTAGGTATTTTTAGTCTGATGCAAACCACTGGATTATACAACTGTTGTAATATAGAAAATAAGACCGCAAAAATGTGTAGTGGCTGTTTTTTTTTTCTATTTACAGCAACTGATAAGTTCGATGCACAGATTACTTTGATTTTTTGGGACCCTTTAACTTCTTTAATTTATTGATGAGAAGTTGATAAATTCAGCCAACTTAAGCTGAAGCTCCAGGAAACCAGTTTTATTCATGTCACCTAGTCTAGAAAAAATTTTTTCAACCACTTACTCAATATAATGAGAAAAATGGATTGTTCGAGATTGAACATATTTTCTTAATGATGGTGTCTAACGATGAGTGTACCTGTCAAACTACCCCCATTATTTGTTTTGAAGATTTTTGCATTTATTAGTTTTATTTGTTTTTGAATCTACCAATAAACTGTTTTTATCATTTTCACATGAAATTCTCATATTTTTTCCTCCACCAGATACTTCCCAATAAAAGTATTTATGTGTTTAAGCATAATTTATTTCAAGGTTCCTGGTGCCAGCCTTTTACCACTACTACCACCACTTCAAGTAGCCCACAAGGGCTAATCCTGCGCTTTAAGTCCCATCCCTCCTCCGTCCCCACTGAACCAGTCCCAAGCAACCACTGTTTGAGACCATCAAACTCGGGTCGCCTGGCCGGGAATCGAATCCTTATAAGGATATAATTTTTTTTTAACTTTCAAATTGCAATCATTTTCCTCAACAAAATTAAAGTTTAATGGAAAAAGCAGTGTCACTAATATCAGTACAGCTTTAGTTTTACCATCAAGACGATTTTTTTGACGAATTTTTCTTTATGTTTCTGTTTCTCTATTAATTTTTTTATGCTTGCAGAATGCAGGGCCGGATCTAGGGGGTGGCCACATGGGCTGCGGCTCATAGCGGCACCTTTAGGGGGCGGCAAATTTTGCAATTTTTTGAATGTAGGTTTAAAAAAAAACTAGGGGCTTATGGGGCTGCTTCGCAGCCCCTTATTTTTCCTGTACACTTTTCACTTTGAACTTTAAAGCAATAAGGTCCATCACCCGGAATATCAATTCGATTTGCAGAGAAAGAGGCAAAAGCAACAGCACTATTATAATTTCTGATATGCTTTATGAAATTTGGAGAATATAAAAATAATGATTTCAAATCGGTATTTGTCCGAATACTCGGTAAAGAAATTAAGCCATTTTGGCAGCAGTTATTAAAATGACCATTGGACATTTCACCCTGAAAATGGCGAGCATCACAATGATGACAAATTATATTCATTGAACCGACTGAAAATTTGGTAACAAAATTTTCATCAAAGTTCTGATCATCAATTTTATACTTCCGAAATGAAGAAATGAAACTTTGATTTTCTATACCAATAACAGAGTTAAGTTCTTGCTTCACTAAACGAACATGCGAAGAATTCTGGAAAACGCGACCACGTTTTGGAGGTCATTGAAAATTTCACTCATAACAACTGTTAAATTTAAAATTAAAATTAGTAAAAATTATTATTTTTTTAACAAAATCATAACTGAAAAGTTCAATTTTTAAATTAAAAAAAATAAATCAGAAGAAAAAGGATGAAATGAAAATGGATATTAATAATAAACATATTTATACACATTGAAAAGAAACAGCGTGAAAAGTTCTGATCGGAAATGAGAAAAAAAACTTGGAGGTTATTGACTTAATGAGGAAAAATTGGCAATAGGAAAAAGATGGAACCAATCATGAAAAACCGTAAAAAAAAAAAAACGCGGGAAAAGAAAAATGTAAGTTGATGGCAGTTGAGTGTTGGAAGTAACCTCACTTAATGATGATTGTTGAATGAAAACAGCTGATAAAAAGACAGCAAACAGTAAAGTAAGATGCGTATAGCAACAAAACTTTTCCGAAAAACAAAAAACAAAAAACCCCCACTTCCCCTCATCCAATTTATGAGTTTTTAGGGATTTAAAAATCGGGGACGAACCCCAGAAAATAATTTATAGTTTTCCCGAAGCATTGAGAACAACACCTTTCAAATGAACCAACGCCCCTCGCAATTAGTACAGTGGTTGATTCACAATTTCATTCTATTTTTCAAATTAGATATTAAGATTGGATTCAGAAAAAAAATTACAAACAAGATAAGGTGACAAAATCTCTCATTTCCAGCGAGTATAGTAAATTCTAATTTTGTCGTCTTTCGGTGATACAAGAGGCAGAACGTTTAGTTAGTCGAATCTGAAACGGCGCGACGCAGAGATGCAATGATGACGAAGACTTGAGATGAAAATAAGGAGAAGCCCTCGGCGCAGCGGTCGGCATTTGACACAGGCATTACCGGCGCCACGTGAAATTCTGTAATTATTAATAATTCAATTTTTAATGGTCTCTTGTGGGTTTTGATTTTTTTATTTTTTCGCGTGTTTTGCTGTCTTTTTTATTAACGATGATCGAAAATGATCCACCCGCACGTTCGCGATCGAAATTATGATTTATTTTCGTTTAGAAACTCGTTAAAGTCTTGAAAATTTAGCTTTGAAAGCCAAAACCTATAACCACCGGTCCGTTTCCGGAAAAAGGGCACATAACAGAAAATTTTAAAAAATTCCTCCCACAGCACTGAAAGAAGTGTAAGTTTTACCGATGGTCGTTATTCATTCTAGGGTGTATGAACGTTGATGTGAGTGCCCCAGTTCCGATGTATGTCATCATCAGTGCCCAGAAAGTAGGAATGAAAACTTCAAGTGCGTTTTCCTAACAACTTGTTTTTTCGGCATGTGCCCTTTTTCTGGAAAGCTCCTCAATTCTCTTTAGCAAATGGGTGGTTTCTATACGAGGTTTGTACGGAATATAACAAAATAATATGAACTATGCAAAACGATAATCCGGAAATCGGGACTAGGCTGTTTCGAAAACGCCTTCAAATGCGGCGTGATACCTCACGCATTCCGAAGAGTTCAAATAGTTGTATCATTGCGCCGTAAGAATGTGACGGAAGATTGCAATTGAAATAGCCTTCAGGCACGCTGACCTTTTTTATGTCCGTTCATATTTTTGCATTCATCAATGCATAGCTTAAGTGCGCTTCAGCTAGAATTGTATTTAGCAAATGGGTGGTTTTCATATGAGGATTAAGAATAAACAAGTGGTTAGAAATGAAAACAAAATATTATGAACTATGCAAAACGATAATACGGGTATCGGGACAAGGCTTTTCGTATTCGATAGCAGAAGATTTGGTTCAAAATTTAGAGTCGTAAATTTGGATTGTTTCTCACGGAAGAGATGGAATGAGAACGCAAATTTTGAAGCACCGCAATGGAGATACGTGGTTTCGCACTTCAGTCGGTGCGATCCAAACATCCATCAAGTTTAAATATTTTGCATCAAGTCCCCGTCACCGCCGACCAACGCGTCTGTCGATCGAATCAACTACAGGTAGTATGAGCAGGGAGTCAAAACGCCTTCAATTTTTTGAACGCAATACGGACATCCGTCGAGGTTGTATAGTTGTATCAAGGCGCCGTAGCGAACGCGTCTCATTGTTGAGCGATACAGACGAATATTAGTTGAGAGAGGAAAGTTATAATGCTTTCACTCTTATGCATACATATTTTTGGGCAAAATGAGAGTTTGACGTTTCTCAATTTGCAACGTTGCAGACTTCCTTAGAAATTTTCTTATTTTTTCGAGAAGCTGTTTCGTATTCGGTAGCAGAAGATTTTGTTCAAAATTTAAAGTCGTAAATTTGGATTGATTCTCATGGAAGAGATGAAATGAGAACGGAAATTTTGAGGCACCGCAATGGAGATACGTGGTTTCGCACTTCAGTCAGTGCGATCCAAACATCCATCAAGTTTAAATACTTGCATCAAGTCCCCGTCACCGCCGACCAACGCGTCTGTCGATCGAATCAACCACAGGTAGTATGAGCAGGGAGTCAAAACGCCTTCAATTTTTTGAACGCAATACGGACATCCGTCGAGGTTGTATAGTTGTATCAAGGCGCCGTAGCGAACGCGTCTCATTGTTGAGCGATACAGACGAATATTAGTTGAGAGAGGAAAGTCATAATGCCTTCACTCTTATGCATACATATTTTTGGGCAAAATGAGAGTTTGACGTTTCTCAATTTGCAACGTTGCAGACATCCTAAGAAATTTTATTATTTTTTCGAGTAGCTGGTCAACATAAAACTTAAATTCTCTATGATTTTTCGTATTCGATAGCGGAAGGTTTGGTTCAAGATTTAAAGTCGTAAATTTCGATTAAAGATTATAATAAAAATAGCCTCTGTAAAAACTTTACAACACTGTATAGTTTTTAGTTGCCTCGTGATTCTCCCTGCTGTTCTGTATATGCTGTCTATATATAAAAAAGTTATTGCGATCCAGTTTGGTTTCCTCCGGTATTTGAGATTATTTATTTACTGATTAGTTTAGCTATTGAAAATAGCTCCATTTGGTGACCTCGACGTGATTATATACTCGAAATCTCTGGTCAAAGTGAAAAATAATAAGGAATTAGAGTGAAGTTAAAATATGAATGTGAGATGTAATTGAGATAACCTAAAAAGTTATTGCGATCCAGTTTGGTTTCCTCCGGTATTTGAGATTATTTATTTACTGATTAGTTTAGCTATTGAAAATAGCTCCATTTGGTGACNTTGGAAGAAATGGCAAAGGGAGTATCTTCAACACATTCAAACATTCACTCAAAAAAAAACGAATCTCCGAAAATAGGATCGTTAGTCGTAAGAAAGGATAGACACTGTCCCCCGATGTTTTGGAAACTAGCAAGAATATCCTGATGAAGAATATCCTGAAGAATATCCTGATCTAATCCTTCACCCAGGATCAGATGGCATCACAAGAGTAGGAAACAGCAACATCCACACTAGTGAGAGTCATCACTGAAGTTTGTGTATTACCGTTAAGTGATGACTAACTTAAATTTAATGTGCTTAAAAAACACACACACACACACACAGTTTTTACTGATGAAATTTCAATTTCAAAATTTTCAAATTTTTAATGATATTCAATCTGTATACATTTTTTAAGGGGGGAGAATGTAAAAACTTTACAACACTGTATAGTTTTTAGTTGCCTAGTGATTCTCCCTGCTGTTCTGTATATGCTGTCTATATATAAAAAAGTTATTGCGATCCAGTTTGGTTTCCTCCGGTATTTGAGATTATTTATTTACTGATTAGTTTAGCTATTGAAAATAGCTCCAGCCTCCATGAACGCTGGCCTTTTCGATTTTCGTTCATATTTTTGCAGTCATCAGTGCATAGCTTAAGTGCGCTTCAGCTAGAATTGTATATGTTAGCGGACAAACCCGATTTTAGGACAAACTAGAATTTCCTAGGACAAACTCGTTTGCCGGAAGAAATCTCGTTCGGCCTAAGCATCTAGAATAAACTAGTTCGGCCTAGG